ACAAAGAGAACATGTTTTCTATTTCTTAATTACATAATAAGTCAAATTATTCTTGCATTTTGATTGGTTCTTACTTATGGTATATTGGAGGACAGATGCACAAATGATGTCATCAACATTCCTTTTTGTTTCTATAAAACAGGTAGGTTCCATGTCGCCATGTGTCTGTTTAGAAACAAATCACGGAGGACGTCTTCAGTTTTTTTAGGTTTCCCAGTTATAGTCGTCGTAGCCTTTCTTTCCTCGCTTGACGATTTTCTTCTTGGCGCACATTTTTTTCTCATTTCAATATTCGTAAGGTGCTCAAGATATTCTTTCTCCAGATCAGGGTTGACAATGTACCTTTTAGCAAATGCTTCAATTTTGTCATTATCACCACATTAAATGTTCCCTTCAGCGAAGAACTTGCGTAACTGCTCAAAAGGTTGAAAATCGTCTGATGTTCTGTTATGTACAGAGGTGTTAGCTGCTGAGAGGTGGTGATAGGAAGCAAGTTGTGTGGCATCTCTGTAAGGACACTCGGGGCCTATCCACTCATTTTCCTTAAATGTCTCACACAGTTTTCCTTTTATTGAACAAACTCCTTTCAGAAACTCAAAATACAGTTGAACTTTCCGTAAGCGATTATGGTCGCTTAGGAGAGCTTAGACCATATTGAGTCAAAATTTTGCCTCATTAGCATATGGTAATTTTAAGACATTTAAGGTAGTCTCTTTTAAGACTGATAGAGTACAGAATGGCCCGAGCCCTAAAACAATAACAGCTGCTCACAATGAAGAGAATTACAAGCTTACGAGAGCTGCTAAACTTCTGGTCAGTGGCCGAGTTCTTACTTTTCTAGCAACTGCGTCTACATTTCAACCAAAACTTTAATTTTCCGCAGTCCACTTTCCAATCTGACTTTCATTTTCTATGACTGCACCAGGAATATCTTCTGGTTTCAACTTTTCCGCTTAAATCGAAGAGGTTTTCGCCTCCATGTTTACTCTTTCAAAGTTCGCGGGAGATCTGGAGGGCGCTTAGGCCTCGCTTTCATGCTACTTCCGGCTTACGGCTACCCTGGTCCCAGAGGTTTTTCTTGATTTTTCTCCGCATGAGAGAGCTGCGAGAGAGCCGCGAAGTGGTGAAAACACGAGTCGCGAAGCGGCGAGAAAGAAGAAACATAGGCCCGCAAGGCGTGCAAGAGTTATTTTTTTTGTGTGGAGTGTCGGAGATAGAAGCATTCATGGTACAGTGATGATTTGGTTAATTTGACAAGTTTTTATGGTTGCGA